TAAAAGCTTAGTCAGACCGGTTGAGCCTCTAGGGGCAGTTTTTGAGTTCGGCTAAAAACTTAGAAAGCTGGCTTAGCCAAAGACTAGCTCGGTCGAAAGATAAGCGTTGTCATTATGCTACGTTCGGACTTAGTTCGGTTCGTTTACCTCGGCTAAAAGTGGTTTGACTTATTCAATACACTGTACCAACATGGAGTGCTAGTTCGGTTAAAGCCTGATAGAAGGACATTGACTATAAACTACTTTTTAGTTCGGTTATATGGTAATTGTGGATCAAACACTGTTTTATAGATTACTTCAGAAGTCATGAGGTTCTTATGAAGTATTTTCCTAGAAAACGCAAGTGCGAGCAAGAATATATGTTTTGCAAAAACAGAAACAGTGTGCCAAGAATGAAGAAAGCAAATGCAAAGACCACAAAACAAAGTACGAAAACAAGGAAAGTAAGATTAGAGTGCAGTACTTACTGATGAAGATCAAAGAGCTTAGAGGATGGAAGCAAAAGAGCAAGCAAAACACGAGCTCTTTCAGAAGACGAAGAACAGTGGAACTCAAGAGAAGGAAGAGGATGATAGTATAGTGGGGGATTTTGCCTTAGGATTTGTTTTGTTAGAAAGCCCAAAATTTGGTCGGGACTGTTCAAAAAACACGGAGTACGAAGACAGCGTGGACAGCTGCATTGAGCCAATCAGCGTCTGCCACGTGTCATTGAATAAGAGCGATTCAGTTGTGTGATTGAAGAGATTTTGACCGGACAGCTAGAGCCCGGCGTGAATTTAGCTCGGTTGGATAGGCTAAAGGGTTTTAGCTCGGTTGGAAAACTAAAGGATTTAGCTCGGCTGGAAAGGCTTAAAAACCTTAGCTCGGCTGATAAAACAGGTAATCCTATCATGCTACGCATGGAATTAAGGGGCAGTTGAGAGGGTAATTTATATGAAAATGGGCCGAGCTGGATGGGCCACAATACGAGGGCTGAGTAAAAAGGCTTTGAAGTTAGTCCGGTCTAGAGCCCCGAAGCTAGTCCGGTCCGGAGGAGACTTGAAAGTTAGTCCGGTCTAAAGACGCTTTGAAGTTAGTCCGTCTCAAAGTTATCCCGGTCATGGGTTTGGTTAGAACAGTCAGAACCTTACTATTCGTAGCTCGGTCTAATCACAACCATGGTTTGTACATGAGAGAACCGAGATAAGGTGTAGTGAAAGGAGAACTGAACTAAGGATATCGCCTACTCTGCGGCTCAGCTAGCCATGATTACCTCGTCCTATTAGAAACTACCATGGTAGAACATCTCACTTGGTGTAAGCAGTGAGGGGTGTTGAAGGATAAGCATTATATTTCAGAAGTATAGATCTGGGGACTCTACATGGAGGAGTAAAAGTTCCACTAGGATTGTGTGCCACACGAAACCTATTAAAAGCTACAAACTCACCTTTGGAGAGGTAACACAACTTTGCTTTTTGAATACACAGAGCTTTTGTCTATTTGTCAAGCTTACTGACTTAGGCATCGGAGAGGTTTCCGGCACACACCCACCGGCTAGCTCACGTTTGTGTTTTCAGGTGATAAAGCGACGACGTACGGAGGAGCGCAGACTTGATCAACAGGATTATACGAGAAGGTTTATTTCTTTCCCGTACAGTAAGTATTTTTCCTATTTTCTGGTTTCATTTCATTTTAGAATTTTCAGATTTTGTTTTGTTTTTATAATAAAATAGAATTTGTTTTCATAGTTTATTTATATATATATATATATATTCTATTTTGATGTTTAGTACTCAAACAAAATTTTTCTTTCTTGAACTATCCTTCGAATATAGTAAAGATTGTCTAACAGTTTCATTTCATTTTAGAATTTTCAGATTTTGTTTTGTTTTTATAATAAAATAGAATTTGTTTTCATAGTTAGTTATTTATATATATATATATATATTCTATTTTGATGTTTAGTACTCAAACAAAATTTTTCTTTCTTGAATTATCCTTCGAATACAGTGAAGATTGTCTAACATGTACATAATTGAAGATCATTCCCTATGCATTGCAAGACAGCTTTTGTAATAGAGTAATAGAATATTTGTTCAAAAAATAGGGAGGTCATCCCATATATATTGTAAAAATACTATTGCAATAGTGGTCAATAAAATATTTTTTTTAAAACATAGGAGGGCCATTTTATCTACATTATTGACATATTCTTTAAATTGATGGGTAATAATATAATATAATTTTTTTTTGGGGAAGGGGGCCATAGCCATCCTAGGTCGAGTCCGAATCCCCTTCTTAACTCTTCTCCTTCATTTCCTCCATGCAACGGCTGAGATCAGCTGTTGTAGATCCAATGGCTATAAAAAAATAAAAATAAAAATTCAATTTTTTTACTGAAATTTCCCCCCCGGCTACTATACATATAGAGGCTATACATTTGAGTCACTCTCACTCAGCCTCATACTCACCCTTTCTCCTCCACGGAAGCTGGCCTCATCGGTGACCACTCTCGAAGGCGACATACTCCTGACAGCGACCCACTCCCGACGACGGTGACCCCTAAACCCAAGCCATCGCTCCAGCCCTCATTTTCTCTACTTCGTGAACCATAGCTCCACCGCGACCACCATATGTATTAGCGAAGAAATTTGTTAAGGAGAAGGTGGGTTCTCAGGCCATAGATGAACCAGGTTCGTCAGCAAGGTGGGTTGTCAGGCCATAAATGAACTAGGTTCGTCCTCGAAATGCTGAAATTAAAAAGTTAAGGTTGTGATGGACAAAATAGATTTGAAATTTCAAAATTAGGGCTTTGATTTGGGATTCCAACAGGAAAAAATTATGGCTTTGATTTGGTTGTTATTGACTTGATATTTGTAGTGCTATGACCTTCTGTATTTTGATTATGATGTTTGCATGGATTGAAAAACGTAAATAAAGAAAGAAAATTCCCATCTCAGATTACTTTGTTGTGTTTTATTTTCTGATTTTACCTTCTATCTCTCTCTCTGTCTCTCTCATTTGGAAATATGATATTCAAATGCTATGTTCATATATTTGTTTGCTTGTGAAAAGAAAATGACTGACAAAATTGTATTGTTATAAAATTTTTATAATTTAGGACCATCTACATAGATAGATGAAGAAGCAATTTCTGTTATGGGCACAACTCTATATTATTTGATGGAGAGACCTCCCTTTGTTAATGTCACACAGAAGTACCACACATGGAGTATTTTTTTATTTTTTATTTTTTAAATTTCGATGTAAAGAACTAGAGCCTTATGTTTCATTTGGCTTCTAGGCTTTTAAAAGGAGATGAAACAAAAGAGATAAATATTTGACATGTGGGCAACATGGACATTGACATGATTCTTCCCTAGAAGTGTCTTTATTACTTGGATGATGATCCTGCTTGAAACACAAGCATAGAACTGCCATATGTGTCTAATTACAAATCATTTAATTTAGACCTTGTCTCTGCACTAGCACAACACTACAAATTTCTTGTCTATGAGACTTTGGGGCTTCCACTAGCATGATCTTTCCATGATTGTATTATGCTTTAAGTGTTACACTTGATTACGAGATTGTTACAAGGAGTATTGTCAGTCCATATAACTTGTGTATTATTTGTAAATTGTAATCATTTAGATGAAGTGTGTAGTATTTGTAAATTGTAATCATTTAGTATATTTTGGTTTTGGTGATTCATTTATGTAGGTGTAAAAATGGCTTCATTTCTTATGTTCTTCGGGTGGTTCATACTCAAGCAAAGGGTATGGCTGAACATGATGTGACGTATAAATATGTATCGAAAAATCTGATTTCTGTGGCTACTGTTGCACCTAAAGCCTTGAATGATAGAATGACATATAGTATGAGACATCTTTTTGGGCTGCATTGGACACTTCCATAGAGTGAAAAACACATCAATCAACTACATGACAATCTTTCGAAAGAAACTAAATAGTAAATAGTAAAACAACAAAACTTACAGCAAAACAACAACATAGTAAACAGTAAAACAACAAAGCTTACAGCAACTAAATAGTAAACAGTAAAACAACAAAGCTTACAGCACCTACAGTTGTGAGATTGTTTTAAAAAATGGCTTCTTCTTCTACTAACAATAGCAACATAAGATTACAACTGAGATTATGCAATTGTGAAAGAACAGCTGCCATATATATATTGTAAGAACCGATGAGAATGGAAATTAAGGGCGTTTATTCTTTGTTTGCCCATCAAAATATGTATGTATTGGAAAAATTAATCCTTTAATAGTGGCAAATTAATTTGTCTTATTCAACTAACTGATTGTTATGCATTATAGAGTAACACTGCCCATTGCAATTACTTCAAGTTCGTGGACGAAGATGATGAAAACATTATGTCTACAATCCGTTCCAACACTAGAACTTGTGATGCTATAATAGTAGAAGACTTTAACGATCTAAGGACGAAGCTTGATGACATGGAAAATGACTATGGTAGAAGGCCTGAAAGAATGGAAAATAATTTGAAAGTGATGGTGTATTTCATTGTAATTTCTATCATTTTGTACTTTATGATGTAACTTTTGTACTTTATTGTATTTTGGGAAACTGAATGGATGTATTGTTGGCATTTGTAACATTTTTCCTTTATGTTTATGGAATGAATTTTAAAGTTTCTATCATTTTGGGTTTGATTGAATGGATGGATTGAGTTTACTTGATTTTAGATGGTTTTCATGAATGTAGTGATGGAATGCTTCTATGAGTTTACCTGATTTTAGATGGTACAAGATAGTTTTGAATTGTATGATATGCATGGTTAAGCGTATATTATGCTTCTATGAATTTACCTTAAGGATATACAGCAGCATTTTCAGTACATGGGCAACAGCATATACACTAAACAACAATTTATTAAAATTGAAATTACTAAGCTACCATAAGAAACTGCTGCTGGCTGCCTAACTGTTACTTATAGTTATATTAAAATTCAAATTACTTGTAGTTATATTAGAAGACATAAAGAACAACTAATGTCAGGTTTTATTAGTTCAAATGGCAGATCACATAGAATTGTTCTGAACATACATTCAACATCTGTAGAGAACAGACTGAAATAGACTGAAAAGTAAGAGAGCATCCAGCCTCAAATTTGTCCTGGACAAACAAAAACAAGAGCATATAAAAACCATTCTTGAGGAAACCTGTTTACTGCTTTTGCTGTGTTCATGGAGGAGTTTAGAAATAAGTATAAAAAGAAGCATTTAAACAAAATTTCAATGGCTAAGATTATGAAGTAAGGGAAAAGAAACGAAAATAACTATAAGAGCGTTAAAGATTATAAAAAAAAATTAAAAAATTGAAAAAAAAAAGATCATCAACTGAAATTATTTATTAATTTTTGACATGGATTTAAGGAAAATTCAATAATTGAACAGCATCACAATCAGCTCATTTGTAGTGAGAAAGAAAGACACACACGCACAAAGATACCGTGAACCAAGGGAAGTTGAAAGATTAAAGAAGTTAGAAATTGTGACAGCCACCACTTGCAAACCAGAGGCATATGTTCTTCTGCATTGTAACAGCATTGTAAAAATGTCTTAGAGAACCACCATTATCATGACTCCAATTAGGGGATACATATAGCAGAATCAACAGTAAAGCAAGATTTCAACAGTATCCTAATGTAGTTTACAATAAAAATCACTCACATATACAACACTAATTTTAGGCCAATTTTAGCAACTTTTGCATAGCTTTAAGTACATTCCATACCAAACTGAATTAACAAATATTCTCGAACTTTAAATCAACAACATTTTGGTTTCACACCAAAGAACCTCATACATGTTCACACAAAAAATAACTTAAGCAACATAAAAATGGACAATAGCAAAATATGGCCAGGGCCAGCAACACATGAACAACAACACTTAAGCAAAATATGGACATCAACAAAATAAGCAACAAGGACAACTACACTTTTAACAACAGATGGACAGCAGCAGTTTGAGTAACAGAGGGACATTAGTTTCATAAGCAACAGATGGATATGGCAGTTTCATAAACAATGAAATTTATGAGCTGCTATGACCGAAATTTGTAGTGCATTCCACCTATCTGTGCCTGTCGGTAGCCTAAGACAAAAAAAAAAAAAAAAAAAAAAAAAAAAAAAAAGAAAGAGCAAAGGGCCAAACAATGTACAAAAAATGCCATATCCATTGCCAAAGTTAATGAAATAACCTGACTTCACATTGGACTATTTGATTCTTATTAAATCATATTATCTATATTATTCTGATGCCTCCAAATCCCAAAGAATTTACAACAGACTGGGAACTTCAAAGATAATGGAGAAAAACCTACACTATTGACTTGGATTAATATTATTCAATCAACCACTTGATTTAGATCATAGACAATCATATTCAGTTGAACCAACCAAGCTTGGTAACGATAATTTCATTTCATATGCTAGACATGGGAAAAATCCCCTGTTTCAACTATCTATCATTGAAATTTCAAACAAGAAAAAAGGGCAGAGAAAATAAAAAGAACAGCGAAAAGAATTAAATTTATTGGAAACCAATTCATAGTTTCACTTAACAATTCTATATTTATGAAAAAGCCCTAATTTATAATATCAAATACAAAATCAAAAACAGGTTGAACCAGGTTCAGATCATGAAGCATTGCATAATCAAAAACTCATTCCTGAAACACAGAGAGAGAGAGAGCTTGCCTGTGTAAGGAGAATCAAGGAAAGACGTCGCCTAGTTGGGTTTGAAGAGCTTCTCGCTGTTGTCAGGGTGGGTCGCCGATGAAGGTGGGTTTGGTGGAGGAGAAAGGGGTTGAGCTCGAAGGGGACTGGGTAAGAATGATACACAAAAGCTGTATAACCTGTATTTTCATTTGGGCAAAAACTGAAATTTCAATTTCAATTTCAATTTCAGTTTTTTTTTTAATAGTCGTTGGATCTACAACGGCTGATCTCAGCCATTGCACGGAGGAAATGAAGGAGGGGGATCCGAACTCATCCTAGGCCATGACATAGCTCTGTCCTTGCCTATGAGTATAAAAGGAAAGTTAATTTTTTTTTCATTTTTTTTTACAAATCGCTACTCACACAGCCAATATGTTGGCAATAAATACCAGTTATCAAGAACAATTAAAATATTTTCAACAATATTACAGACCCATTCTTACAGGCTTGACCCTGAGATTTCTGGGACCTGAAATAATAAACTAATAAGTATCACTTGATCATTTGGGACCCTTCACATTTTTTTTATTCAACAAAAATTTATAAACTACTAGAAGAGAGAGTAACTAAACATAGTTCTTACAAAGCAAATAAACAACCCTTTCGTTTTTTTAGTTTTCATTTTTTTTTTATAATTCTTTTAAGAAGATTCCTTCCGTTTTGGGCAAATTAGGCTTCCGGGCCCTTAGATTTTCGAATGGGCCAGCTTATTTTAAATTAGTTGGGCCTTTCTAATTTTGATATGGGCTTCAAAGACACCTAATATATTACACTAATCCATAATAGGAGGAGCCTTTGTTTTTGGACAAATTTTGGGGGGCCTAAGCCATGGCTTGGTGGGCTTGGTGCCAGGGCCAACCCTGACCCTTATCACTACAAGAAAAAACACATTTGGTGACTAAATATTTAGTTGCCAAAAGTCAATTTTTAGTTGCCAAAAGTCGGTTTTTAAGCTTCCCCGACTAAATTTTTTAGTCGCCGGTTTGGTCGCTGAAAAACGGTCGGGAAAGGTATTGGCGACTAAAAACTTTTAGTCGCCAAAAAGCAAGTCTTTACCGACCAAAATTTGGTCGCTAATAGTCAATTATATTTTTTTAAATTATACATTTGGCGACTAAATGTTTAGGCGCCAATAGTCAATTATATTTTTTTAAATTATACATTTACCGACTAATGTTTTTGTCGCCAATACTCAAGGAATCGGCAACCAAACAGATTTAGTCGCCAAAAGCTCATTCCGAAAAAAAAAAATTACACCTTACTCTTGTGGAGATTCAAACCATCAACCTCCCACACCATAAACCTTATACAACACACTCCTATAACATCATATGATTATATATGCAACATATATTATTTATATAGTACTTAGACCCGTATTAATATCAAAGTATATATATAAACATAATTATTTTTTATTGAACATAATTTATGTAAAAATAAATTATTTAGTAGAAAAAAAAGGACACCAATTTTGGCGACTAAACATAATTTTAGTCGCCAATTCTATACTTTTGGCTACTAATTATTTTTTAGTCGTTAAAAAAAAATTTCCCGCGCTAAAATTACCACTTTTGGCGACTAAACTTTTTTTTAGTCGCCAAAAAGCCTCACTTTCGGCTACTAAACATGTTTTTAGTCGCCGAATGCTTCACTTTTGGCTACTAATTTTTGTTTAGTCACTAAAGGGCCTTACTTTTGGCTACTAAAATTTTTTTAGTTGGTAAAGCCTCACTTTTGGCGACCAAACAAATTTTTAGCCGCCGAATGCCTCACTTTTGGCTACTAAATTTTTTTTAGTCGCCAAAAGGCCTTACTTTTGGCTACTAAAATTTTTTTAGTCGCTAAAAGCCATATATCGGCGACCAAATAGATTTTTAGTCGCCAAAACCTATACTTTTGGCTACTAAAATTTTTTGGTCGCCAAAAATCTTTAGTTTTGGCTACTAATGCATTTTTAGTCGTCAAATGCTATACTTTCAGCGACGAAATGTGATTTTTTAGTCGCCAATAGTGCTTTTTCTTGTAGTGTATCAATTTAGAATATACTCAGAAAAAAATAAAATTTAATGGCTCGAAATCACTTCATATGTGGGCACAACATTTTATCAATTCAATCTCTATCATAAAAATATATTCGGAATAAATTCAAAATCTGTAAGGATGGTTCCTAGCATTTTTCAAATGTTTTTGCAAAGTAAGGACAACACATAAGATGATATATCCGACACATAAATAAATATATATAATGGCATTTAGTTGGGCTGGTTAGAGGCCTTCTCATAGTTGATTTTGCACCAAATTCATTGTCAGGCCCATTTTTTATGTTTACATTCTCCTTAGTGTAACCTTTGCCCCAACCCATCCCAACCCAAACCCACCTCTATTATGTTTGTAAATAATTTCATGTCCCAATCCCCTAAAAAAAATTCTAACCCAAATATGAAAAAGATAAATGGCAAATTTCACTTTACTCTCAGTGATGTGGACCATGTGAGTCTACCCGTTTAACGTTTAAAAATGACCATATAATTTTCTTATGGTTATAGATTAAAGTGCATAATTAGACTAATTAATGATTTAATAAAAACGTCTAAAATATCCCGTATATAAGTAATTTAAGTGTGTAAATTATGGATATTTTTTGTTTGGAAAGCAAAGTGCACTTTACCCCATGTGATTTGGGCCATATGCGGTTTATCCTCTTAACGTGTGGAAATAACTACATAACTCCTTTATGGTTTGTGAACTGAAGTGTATTGTTAGGCCCATTAATGATTTAACGAAAAAGACTAAAATACCCTTGTATATAAGTAACTTAAGCGTGTGAATTATGAATATTTTCGCCATTTGTTTGGAAGACAAAGTACACAGTCACCCCTGTACTTTATTCCATGTGCGATTTATCCTAGTGAAATTTGAAAATGAACATATAACTACCTTATATTTGTCACGTGTTTCACACTTCCTGTTAAGTTGGACGAAATGTTTAACAGTGCACTTCAGTCCATAAACCATGGGGGGATTATGTGGTTATTTCTAAACGTTAGGAGAGTAAACCGCACAATGATCCAAATCACAGAGGATAAAGTGAAATTTGTCCAAAAAATAAAATCGAAAACAAACCAAAAAAATTGTAGGGGTACAGGCCAGTCCCCTTTTAATTTGTGCACTGGACTATGAAATAAACGAGAAATTTGGTTGATAATTTTTTGGATTATGTGGAATAACTTTATTAACTAATTTTTGGAGATTAAAGCCTCGTTTAGTTTGTGTTTCGGGAAAAAAAAATTGAAAAAATGAAAACTAGTTTGATAAAAATAAATATTAAAAATATTATTTTAAATTTTTTAAAATTATTTCTGATCTCCAAAAGATAAAATTATATAAAAATGATAGGTGTTTTTATTTTATTTTATTTTATTTTATTTTTATGTCTTTCACCAAATTAATTTTTAGATTTTTGAAATTTTTTTTTGAAACAACTTTCTGAAAACCAAATCAAATATGACCTAAATTTTTTTTAGCTGGTCGATTAATGGAATGAAGTGAAGTTTCGAACAGAAGCTTTGCTTGAAGTAGTGAGTTGAAAGTTTGGAGAGGAAGGAGGGTGTGGGGTAGAAATTTTAAGATTTAAATATTTCGTAGAAAATTTAAATTATATAATTTGAATTCTCAGTGAAATATTTAAATCTTAATAAGATATATAATTGTTAGAATACATTTATTTATAAAATGAAATTATGTTGAATAATTTGATCCAAGCATTAACTTAATAATGTAGAGTAAGAGAGAGTTACATTTTTGATAGATTATGTTTCCATGCAATGAATGGAAGGACTCAAAGTAATAGTTTACCCTAAAACCTAATGCATTAGATCTGTTTTGGATTGTGAAAGTTAAGTAATTTAATTTAAGAACACACTTGTTTGGAGTTAGTAAAAAAAAAAAATATTATTGACAGCATTCCTTCTTATAATGTAAGATAAGAAGATCACATGTTTCAATTTGATGATTTAATTGGCGAATTTTGAAAGCTCTTACGTATAGATCATTCATAAATAATAAAAAAAATCAGATTATTTTGATAATTATAGTCACTTTTTTTTTTTTTTTAATTGGCATTTAGTCACTTGGTTACATTTGTTTTTTTTTGTTTTTTTTAAAAAAAAAACACAAGCAGTTTGCTTTTAAAATTATATACGTAGTCTAATTTTTCAAAAATAAATGTAATGAAATTATGTGGCTACATTTATTGGATTAATCTAATTGATTGATGAATCAGATCATCAAAATAGGATTTGTGGACCCACCGGTGGCCTGGAAACAAACCCATACCATGATTTAAAGCTTTATTGATTGTGATAAATTATCATTTGAAAAATAGTACCTATAAATGGATTTCTTACATAATTTTTTTCCTCCTAAACATAAATTTTGTACTCATAACAAAGGAGGAAAAAAAAAAAAGGAAAGAAAAAGAAAAAGAAGAGGAAAAAGAGAGAAGAAGTCATTTTCAATTTGATTCTGAAATTATGGGTAAGAAGTTATAGATAGCTTTGCATAATCACACAAGATAATGTGGGTGCATTGCTAAGAGACTGACCCTTCAGCTGTTAAGTGTTCAAATGTCTCAATTCTCCCTCCTGTTTTAACTTCTCACGATAGTGTTTGCTTCAAGCCACTAACTCTCAAATATAATTTTAAAGGTGCTATTTACTCAAAATTTTTACTTTGAAAATTATCTTAAAAGTGAAGTGTATAGTGTAAATTTAAAGTTGGTGTGATATGAACCACTCCGGAGTGAACGTATTCCATTGATATGGTTTTCTAAGTATATAGCATTGTTGATATAAAAAAGGACAGTCTAATGTATGAAATTTCTATTACTACTATATCACATCAAGGATCCTCTAGAGTTTTTTTTTCCTAAAGTTTCCTAAAGTGGTGTGCTGTATGAGTGAGATTTAATGCTAAAAAATTGATGTGACTTGTTATTAAATCTCAACCATACAACACACCACTCTAGGAAACTTTAGGAAAAAAAAAACTCTAGAGGATCCTTGCTCACTATATCAGGGGAAAAATATCAAATATATGCAGTCTTACTAAGGCCAAGTTTGGCAACCCATGAAAAATTCAAAAAGTCAAAAAGTTATCAAAAAAGTTAAAAAGTTATCACTATTCATCAATTAAAAATATAAAAATATTAATTTACACAATATTACCATACAAAGACGTGACTGGTGATACCCGTGGTGGCAGTGCACTTTATTGGGCTGTCAATGGGGTAAAAAAAAATTAGGTATATTTATTCATTAAATTGAAGGGTAATATTGGGCCAGTAGGGGCCATCACAGATCTGTTTTTGATAATCTGAACCGTTCATGTATAGAACTCGTCGAGTGCTATATGCTTATGAAAAATTAAGTTAATCGGATATCGCTAACTATATGATCAAATTAGTTTAGTATAAAAAATGGATGGTGTTATATTTAACGGTTGACAAAAAACTAACACGATTAGATAGTTATCGATATCCGATCACTATGATTTTTTATAAGCATATAGTACTCGACGAATTTTACACATTTAATGGTTCCGATTAGTAAAACGTGACCTGTGGTGGGCCCCCAAAGGCCGGACAACACCGCCAATTTAAGCCCGAGAAGTAGGCAATAATTTCCTATCTCCTAATCTGTCACTACTCTGCCAGACTGCTGTACAGGCTATCAATAACTTCTCTTATACATTTTTTTATGCAATTTTTTAATATACATTTTTTCGTAAAAAGTCAAAAAGTTAACTCAAACATTCATATTTTTTTTCTCAACTTTTTAGTTCAAAAAAACAAAAAATGCACTTATTTAGGACACCCCAAACAACTCTAGTCTTACTTTTTCATACGGAGAGATTATTTTTGTATTTTGAGCCGACTACCCAAATATATGGGGAAAAAAATTAGAATGAAAATTGAGAATGAGAGACGTGAGAGTATCACATGCAGTACCAAGCAAACATCCACTAGGTGTGCAATCTTCATGCATTCATTTTCAGTTTGGGACCTCCTCTTCACCTTCTTATTATTGCACCAACTCTCCATATTATATATATTGTTGTTCCCTCACTTAGACATTCCTCATCAGCAAGCTTGCAATCCTGCTAAATTTGTGGTAATGGAATTTGATTCGTTGCCCAACCCGGTTTACGAAATTCCCTTCAAAGCAAAGGTCCACTGCCAAAGGTGTCGATGCCACCGATTTGCAGAACTGAAGTGGCTTATATGTACTGTTATCTTATTCATGATCTTTTATAGTGCAGGTACAGTTCATATAGCGTAGGATGTGTTTAAAGTTTTTATCTTTTTCAATTTATTGTGAATTTTGCTCATTTCTTTCCGTTTGATTTGGAATTTTAGAGGCATATGATCCATTGGATCCATTTGGAAATGTGACGGTCAAATGGGATATAATGTCTTGGACTACAGATGGTTATGTGGTGAGTATCATACTATCATCTTAATATGATCACAAAAATGTCTACGAATACAGAAACAATCACAATCACAATCACAATCACAAAACTATGATTCTAGTAGAAGAGTTGAAATGAGACTAGTGAGACTAGTGAGACTACACACCTAGAAAAAATTACCCAAAATTCAACTTGTGTGGACTAGATTGACAGAGATAGACTCACAACACATTAGGATTCTTTTGGGAATTGACTTTTTAACTTTTTTTTTATTTATTTATAAAAAGTAAATAGAAGAATTGACTTTTTTATAATGATTTTTTAATTTTTTGACTAAAATATTACCTTCCCAAAATAGGCATAAGTTTGATCTACACCCTTGGTTACTTTCTTGGATAAAAATCTGAGCTCCTATCTTTTCCCATTTGACACAGAACCATTTGCGATAGCAAAAAATGCCATCGCAAGTTGTCAAAAAATTTCATGTAAAAGCCAAAACGATGTAGTTTATAAGAAGGAAATGATTTGAAATGATGTCATAAAATTTCAAATACAACAAATTTTATCTCTAATTCTCTTTAGCAACGACAACTTGACTTTTAACGACTAGCATCATGCCGTCACAAAAAATCATATCTCCAATAGTGTAATTGCATTTCCAAAATTTTCAAAAATATATATATTAAAAAGAACCCAAATCCATTTTTTTGCTATAATTATTATTTATTTTAAAATTTTTTTTTCCAGGCTACGGTGACGATGATAAATTTTCAAACGTTTCGACAAATCATGAGCCCTGGGTGGACCTTAGGGTGGTCATGGGCAAAGAAGGAAGTGATTTGGGGCATGGTTGGAGCTCAAGCAAGTGAACAAGGAGATTGTTCCAAGTTCAAAACAAACATACCACATTGTTGTTTGAGAAATCCCACAGCTGTTGATTTGCTTCCTGATGCCCCTTACAACCAACAATACTCAAATTGCTGCAAAGGCGGCGTGTTGGCATCAATGGCACAGGATCCAGCAGGTGCAGTCACCGCCTTCCAGATTACCGTTGGATTGTCCGGCACTTCTAATAAAACAGTGAAATTGCCCAAAAATTTCACTTTGCTTGGTCCGGGACCAGGGTATACTTGCGGCCCTGCAAAAATGGTTCCATCCACGTTGTTCCCCACGCCCGATCATAGGCGAAAAACTCAAGCACTAAGTAAGGTTATTCTCTTGATTGTTCACTATTGTATCATTGGTAAATTGTACTGGTAGTCCCTATATTTTGGCTCTTATTTGAATTTAAGATTTTGTCTAAATTTGGTCCAACCTAATTACGCCCATTATTGTTTATGAAAAATGCACACGTAAGGGCATTTGTAAAATTGAAAACTTGCTCAACTTAGAGTTAAACTTAATTAACTCAGTGATAATTTTTTGTCAAAAACCTTAACCGGCATTATTAATTAGACTAAATTGATACAAAATTTAAGAAAAAAAAAAAATTTGAGTCGATTGAAGTGTAGAGGCTAGAATGACATAAGGAGTAAAGTCCAGGGACTACAGGTGTAATTTGGCTTAGTATCTTCTTCAGGAGAGGGTGTGGGGTTTTTTTAAGCCTTTAGTTTTAACTGTGAAATGAATGCTCAAATGCAGTGACTTGGAATGTGACATGCACATACTCACAATTTATGGCTTCAAAGAACCCAACATGTTGTGTATCATTCTCATCTTTCTACAGTGATATCATCACACCATGCCCATCTTGTTCCTGTGGTTGCCAGAACAAAAAGAACTGTATCATGTAAGCCTCATTTTTTCACTTTTCATGCATACATCTTTCTTGTGCCATCAAACATTGTTTCATACATAAGTAATTTCAATGCCAATAGCAAAAAAAATAATATATGCTTGCTATTTAGTAACGTTTGCAATTTTTTATTTTTATTTTTATTTATTTATTTATTTATTTATTTATTTTTGTTTTCCTTACAGAAAGTATTAAATATATTTGTGTTTAGTTTTTATATTAAAAAAAAAGAAGGTAAATTACACTAATCTCCTTTGAGATGTGGGGAAAATACATCAAGGAAGGTTGTTTTCAGATTGTAATTCGCATAACATTCATACCCCTTTGAATTAATAATTCGCCAGTCATATGAATGGAAAAATAATATTGTCATATCTTTTATAATAAAATATATTTTACCTACCATGTCTACAAACTATCTGTATTAGTTTTACTGAAAGAAAGTCGGTGTAATTTACCCCACAAAAATAAAATAAAATAAAAATTTGATAAATGCATGTCTTTAAAGGGGTGGCCAGAGGGCTCATGGGAGGAGATGGTTGTTGGTGGCCGAAGGTGGTTTTCATCTTAGTGATTTGCCAAAGATAATTGTCAGTTGCTAAGATGTGATGGCCGGAGATGGGTTGACTTGCCGAAGGTGGTTGCCAGTAGGTGATGTGTGGTGACCAAAGAAGGCCGGGGAGAGAAAACAAATTGAAAATTGGTTTTGAAAACAAAGAAAAACACTTTTGTAAACTGTTTACATTTTTTTGAAAACAAAAACATTAGTTGTTTATAGTTTTCAAAATTTCTGAAAATAAAAATAAAAAATATAAATGAGGACAATGCAGGAGCAACTCAAGCCTGCTGAAGATGCCAGGAATCAATACTCCAAAAAAGGATAACACACCTTTGATACAGTGCACTCATCATATGTGTCCAATAAGAGTGCACTGGCATGTGAAGCTCAACTACAAGGAATATTGGAGAGTGAAGATAGCCATCACTAATTTCAATTACAGGATGAACTACTCTGACTGGACTCTGGTGGCTCAGCATCCCAATCTTGACAATCTCACTCAAGTTTTCAGCTTTCAGTATAAGCCTCTTCTCCCCTACCAATCCATCAGTGAGTTCACTTACACCACAAACATGTTTTGTAATTCAGTATTTTTGAAGTACCATTTAGGTACCATTTAGTTTCACCATTTTAAATAAAAAAGAGTACCACTTAGCTTTGCATGTGCCATGTTCTAAACTAATCACGCAATCAATTTTTTTTTTTACAAGTGAGACATGCTGATTTAACTTTGTTAAGTGGTTCGGACACAAAAATTGATCCACTTGTTGTATTGTGATTTCTTATTTGTTGAGACTACCATGTAGATAATGTCATCTAGTGTTCCGAAAATTAGTGGTAGAGTAAAGATTGTGACTCAAAAAGGGCAATATTGAGTTGAAGTGGTAAAATTTATCGCAATTTAACTAAGTCTTTCATTTGGTGGTAGGATGGATGACTAAAGATCGGAATGATGTCAAAGTTACATCAAGCTAACATTATTTTTCTTTTTTGTTGTTTTTCTATTATTTTTGTTATTAATTCAAATTTTTGTTTTAATTTTCGAATGTGATGATCATCATAATATAAAATGCAATTATATATCCCTACAAAAAACGAAGACGAAATTACACCAAGATAAGGATGCGCACACAAAAAAGAGAAAGAGGAATAGAGAAAGAAATGAAAGAGAAGAGTAAGAAATAATTATAAAAAAATTATAAGAGAAATTTTTTTAACAAAATTGAACATTTAAAGTGACAAATTACAGGAATTTTATTGAAAATGAAAAGTAAAGAAAAGAAGACGTATAATAACTTTAAAAAAATTGAGGAAAGACACGTGCCCCGCCTAATCCTAATGTTGCTCCAATGTTGTTGATATTTATGTGAAGATGACACTGGCATGTTCTATGGCATGAAGTTCTACAATGACCTGTTGATGGAAGCTGGACCGCTCGGAAACGTGCAATCTGAGTTACTCCTTCAGAAGAACAAGGAAACATTTTCATTCAAGCAAGGATGGGCATTTCCCCGGAAAATTTACTTCAATGGCGACGAATGCAAGTTTCCTCCTCCCGATGCATACCCATCTTTGCCAAACAATGCCAAAGTAAATCCTGTTTCATATTTTACACTGTTTGTTTCTGTGATTTTGATGATCTTGTCCATTTGCTGATCGGATTATCAGCAAGAACGCGGTTTTATGGGATTTTCCCGGAAGAGAAAATATTTGATCTTGTCAATTTCTTAAGAACTAGGGGTAAATTTGATGCAGAGATGTTGTTGCAGTGACACTTAAGAAGTAAACTAAACACTGATATGTTTCGTTACTTGAGAGGTTTGTCTATAGTACAAATTACAAAATAACATATCTCATCTCCATTTCAACTCTCTTTGCTTAATTGGATGTTTTTTTTTTTTAATTATGTTTTTGGAAATGAAATAATGAAAAGTTAAAAAACATCCACCATTTTCATTTTTTGTGTGAAATCAATTTTGAAAAATTCTCAAAATATCTTCTTTTTTTTTTTTCTTTTTTTCTTTTTTTAACCGCCTCCCCTTGAACTATAATCTTAACAATAACACCTTAAACATTGTGTCATTTTGCCACAAATTAGTAGAAGCATTATGAGTTTGCTTGGTTCTCATTTTTTAAAAACAGTTTTCAAAAAATTCTACACTCTTATTTTTCGTATTTTTTTGTTTTTACTGAATTTTTTTAATATTTTATGCAAACTTTTTACTTTTTAGACGCACCTAACATAAATACACCTAAAAAGTAAAAAAATTGTAAAAAAAATCTTTTAAAAATTCACTAAATACCAAAAATACAAAAAAATACAAGAATTTAGTACATTTTTTGTATTTTTATGTATTTCTTAATTTTTTAAAATATTTTTTCACAATTTTTTTACTTTTTAGACACACCTAACATAAATACAACTAAAAAGTAAAAAAATTGTGAAAAAATATTTTAAAAAATTAAGAAATACATAAAAATACAAAAAATGTACTAAATTCTTGTATTTTTTTGTATTTTTGGTATTTAGTGAATTTTTAAAAGATTTTTTTTACAATTTTTTTACTTTTTAGGTGTATTTATGTTAGGTGTGTCTAAAAAGTAAAAAAATTGCATAAAATATTTAAAAAATTCAGTAAAAACAAAAAAAATATGGAAAATAAGAGTGTAAAATTTTCTGAAAACTGTTTTTAAAAAATGGGAACCAAGCAAAGTGAATTATTTTTTTATTATTATTATTTTTTGTACCATAGAAAAATAACTAGCGGATGGAATTTAAAACGTGTGAAAAAGAAAATGAAAAAAAAGTGTGTATATTCACTAGTTAGATGGACAATGAAGGGTAGTTACGATGCTAGTTCCTGGAATTGGAGCAGGGGATTCGGATACTGTAGTTTGCCAGTGCAGCACGAGTCATGCACAGCATCAGAAAAAGGGGAATAAAAAAAAAAAAACATAAAAAAATCATGATAAGTTCGTTTGAGCCATAGCAGCTTGAAGTTGAGTCCATGTGTCTATAATAGGCAAATAATGGTAGAAAGTGTGAACGTTGAGAAGGTAAATCATGAATATTCTGTTTTTTTTTTTTTTTTTTTAAATTTTAAAAAATTGTAGACTTCTTTTAAAAAATTTCAAAGTCAGCATAAGATTTCTTTAGGAATTAATTATTACACCCTTTCACCAAGAAAACTTCTCAATTTGAGAGGAAAGTTTCTAAAGTTTCGACGGCTAGATCTCAGTTCTTGGAACTGCAATGCAAAACTTCCAATATCTTGATGACTTTCTATATTTAGATAATCAGCCATACAATGACCTGAAAGTAATATGTTATCCACTACATGACAAGCCAAATTTAATGTGAAATGAGATTTTAAAAACTTCCATTTTGGAACTCTCAACAACTCTCAAGTAGAGTTGATAATGCAGAACAGTTGCAACTTGCAAGTAAGAAGAAGACGACGATCGGAGACCAACCACCTACGACTGACGACTCACCAGCAAAGAGCTTCTAGGTATGCCCGACGACCCCCCCCCCTCTCTCTCTCTCTCCCAATCAACATACTTTGAAGTCATGTGTGGAGACCATGACGGCAGTCACAAATCTGTCGCACCGGCTGCAGAGTAGGACAAATGAGGTGCAGCAGT